TTTTTTTTTTTAAATGTGGGTTTAAAAGTTCGAGGACAAGGAAAAAGACGTAGCTCTCTGTGTTTTTTGTTTTTTTAATTTAATAAAACATTATTTAACAATTCAAATTGTGCAACAGTGATTATTAGACAATAGACGGATTCTGACATTGGGATTCTTATCCAATCCAAGCATCCCTGTTACTGCGGGCACTTTGCCCGGCAAGGAAGTAACTTTCTTGTTTAATAAAACTTGAGTCACTTCTCGGTTTCATGTTCATCAAATTCCTTAGGGCATAGGGTGGTCTCTCTGAGATTATAAGATGGTATCATGGTTCAGGATTTCTCTTTCTCAAATTTCAAAACTAAGTTAAAAAATTGTGTAGGTAATGAAGGCAACTGAAAAGGAGGCAAATAACATCTTTCCACTAATGAGGAAAAACTGCAGAGCAGCTTTGTACAGGGAATGAGCAAGGTGAACCAAAGAATTATAGCTTCCTAAAAATCATCATTACCAAATAGGAGCACTAGTGAGTTACCATTTTGGCAGTACAAGTTAATGCTAAGCCTCCTATTCTCAATCCTGTGGATGCCAAAAAAAAGGGAACAAAGACAGGCTGCGCCGTTTGTTACTGCTCAAAACTTGCTGCTTCGAGCATCAGGATTTGACCTACTAAACATTCGGCCATCCCCTCCTTTCTTCCCTTCTTAAAATTTAGTCAGAATCACTGTCCAGGCTCTCCATTCCTTTCAACCCTCGTCGCCGTTGCTGGCATAAAAAGCACGGCATTAGTTATCATGTTAAATCCCACCCACCTCACTTGCATATTTTAAAAAATGCATGATGCACAAAAAGATAAACCCATGTCCCTTGATCCACTGCTTCTCTGCCACATGATTTCGGATGATTTGTTTTAAAATGATTCCTCTTTTATAATCGAATAAAGTTAAATGTAAATGCTCAATAATGCATTCCAACTATCCTAGACAAAGCTCCATTAGGTAGGAATACAATAACATAATGGGGCCCATTTATTAGATCATCGACCCATGTGGTTCCCCAAGTAAAACCCAGGAGCTGGGAATGTGGTTCCCCAAGCTCCTATGCAGTGTTGCATACCTGGTTGTCTAAGAGGTGAATGTGAGTTTTGAAACAAGCAAAAATCTTTATCCATGTATGCATTCATGAGTGTTAAGAGAAGAAACGTAATTAGAGGAAAAGGGTAACCCCAGCTACCTTCTTCACGGATTTCTTCTCCCTAACCTCGTATCTGCTCTTTGTCAAATCTGACAGCCACATCCCTGGAAAACAATACTGCCAAAACCACAATAAATCACATGAATTTTACCATGTTTTTCTGACAAATGTTTCTTATAAACAAGGCCTATGAAAGGTAGTACCTGCAGAGTTTTATCAATGTGCTTGGCTCTTTTCTTGGGTCTCTGTGGCAACTTGGTTCCTTTCATTGCTAAGAAATCGTCTTCCTTCTCCTTCCTTGACAGTGAAATGTAAATCCTAGGCCACTCAATCACTTCGTTCACCTTCTCCCCACCTACTAAAGCAGCTTTCATGGCTCCAATTTCCTGTCCTGATTGAACTGGGGCAGAAGCAACATGATTCAAGCGATCAGCTACACCAACTGATCCACTTTGTTTCTCATCTTTAACTGAGCCAGAACAAGATTTCTTTCTATCAGTGGTCTCTGGAGGAGGAGATCGTTTTCCAGCTGTAGATCTAGAAACAGATCGGCTATTGCCACCACTGTTTCTTGATGGTGACCCATTTGCAGCAGCTGATCGGTCTTCTAAATTCCTGGGCATGACCAACAAAAGATGATTGGTGGTGCTCGGTTGGTAGTGAAAACTAGGGAGCTTTATAACTTTGAAGTGTAGATTAAGTTTTGCAGATGCCAAACACAAGTAAATCATACAGCATCCAACAGAAAGGACATAATTTAATACCCCACCCAAATGAAGGAAAGCACATTACTATCTTGAAGAAGGGGAGGGTTAAAAAGAAAGATATTTAACATATTATAAGTTCCAACTTCCAAAACAAACACAGATGTGAAAAAAAGGAAGATTCTATCACTTTCAAAATGTAGACCTAAAGGACTTTTAAGAGTTAGAAAAACTAAAACCAATCTATCCGCAAGTGACTGAGGGGCAGGATAATGAAACCGCGTCAAGCTGAGCTGAGCAAAACCGAAAAGCGCAAAGAAAACCAATGAAGGCATTGACTTAGAATCCCCACAAAGTGAAGGAAGATCAGGGATTTCCCCCTCTCTTCAAGGATGTAAAGGTAGAAGTAAAAAAATCCTACCCTCTTCAACTGGGTTGAGTGAAAACAAGCTTACTTCTTCGGATGATTTTCTTTTTTTCATTTTTGGCTTTAGTCTTTAGATAATTAGGTCTAGCAAAACTGAAATCCATTTTTTCTTCCTAAGAAATGACATCAAATAGAGGGGAAAAAAAAATCCAGAGGACACTCTGCACTATAATTCCCACACAAAGCAAGAAGATGCAATAACGGACCGTTCTAAATACATTTTACCAAATAAATAAGGAAAATCACATAACATGGAATGTGTCAAATTTTGAAGAAAAAAAAAAATAAACAAAGAGAATTAGGGACAAACCTGTTTCCAATGAATCCAGAGGTTTCCTTGCTGGAAATAGAACCATTTCTAAGACTTGAACTTCGGCTGTTAGGAGGTGCAGGTGGTGGAGGCGGCATGGCAGCATGTATGGTTCTTCTCTGCGCCTTGTTGCCCATCACTTGCCTCCCCAGAATGGATGATGATGAAGAATCATCAGTCACTACCCGGATCTCAGATCTTGAGACTCTTGCCCTTTTCTTTTGACCCCACTGCAGTAAAACGTTGCCACGGTTGGGGCTAGGACTGGGGCTCCCGTCCCCCCTCTGGCTCGGCTGCGGGTTCTTTAGAGTCTCATGGTGGTGGCTATCAACCTGTGTTTGTGGAGGAGAATTTGGAACACCACCAGAACCAGAATGCGACAAGCTGTTGCTGTGGTCTTGGGTTCTAGATGGGGATCTGAATCTGAGTCCTTTAGTTCCTTCAAAACCTGTACTAGTGTTCGGGCAATTAAGGCTATCTTTTAAGATGGATCTCCCATTGTTAATATTGCCATTGCTGCTATCATCTTCCTTGCACATTGTTGCAGTTGGTTTCGAATTGGACTTGCTTAGAGGAGGACAATCTGGACTTACTCTCTGAAATCTGTAAAACAAAAAATCGAGAACATAAGAATGCATGAAAAACACATCCAATTAAAAAGACAATAAAATGGGAAGATCAAACAAGAAACCCCAGACACAAAATTGTTGTTTTAATTTTAAAGACCTCTCCTTTGGCAACCCAAAATCATCCTAAAGCAGCACACCCAGAGAAAAATGAAAATTACATATTGTACGGCTTGGGATGGGAGGATCAACTGTGAGAGGCAAGGAAATTGCAAGGAAGAGAAACAGAGGGCATCTGGAGGAGAAGGAAGAGAAAGAAACAGAAGGCATCTTCATTTTCTGCAACAATTCAAGGAGAAACAAGGAATTTGGAATTTGGGGATTAAATTTTTCCCGGAAAAAGAAAATGGGACTATCAAAATTGTTATCTGAATTAGATTGCATTAATTCTCGAACCCAAAATGGAGTGCGACCCACGTCCTGAATCTGACAATCTATTCCCAAAATTTACAAAAACCAAAGGACAAGAAGAAGGAAGAAAGCCCAATCTGTCATGGAGAAGCAGAAGCAGCTTTCTGTTTGGGCATTTTTCTCTTTCAAGGAACATGAGCATTTGTGGTTGGACAAAGCAAATCTAAGTTGTGATGGGAACTCCATCATCTCCCAAGAACACAGGGGCAGATGAACAAGATGAAGAAGGGGATCTAACTAATCTACATCACTCCCAGAAAGTCATATTCAAAATCAAGTTGAATTTTTGAATCCAAACCCATAAAACAAAGAGAAAACCAAAATTCCGAGTCCAGGTGAGGAAGAAAGAAGATGAAGCGCAGGCATCAAACCTCATCAGTGTATATGATGGATGAACAACTTCATTCACATAAGGCATAGAATTAGAACCATTGTGTATGAAAAAAGAAGAAGAGATGATCTGAAGGGAAAAGGGGAGGAGAGGAGAAAGTGTGATGTGAGGAAGAAGAAATGCACAGCATCAACAACAGCAGGAGCAAGCAGTGGGCTTGTCTTTCTTTCTTCTCTGCTTTCACTCTGTTTCTACTTATTTCCTACCCTGCCATTTTCTATCTACCTAATTCTAGTTGGAGCAATATGTCTAGGGTTTCCATCTTGGACTTGGAAGCCCAAACCCAACCCATATCTATCTATTTTCATTGGACTCTTAGGCCCAACTTTTCTTGAGGAGGTTGATTCCTTCATCATGTGGTAAAGATAAATATTGTTCTTCAATTGGAATAATTATGGCCACATGGATTTTTGATAGGGTCCCAAAAAAATTATAGATATGTTTGGTTTAATTCTTAAAAATTATTGATAATTGTATTGTTAATTGATAATTTATAAAATAATTAATAGCTATTATTTAACAATTTAAAATTAACTTATATGCTAGTATTTTCAAACATTTTAATCAATTGTAAATTGATAAAATCAGCCAGACCAAATAAACTTCTAATATATATATGTGTAGCCTTCAAAAAGGTTTTGGTGGCCATAACCATGGCTTTCTATCCTTGTAAGTTTTCGCTCACAATTAAAAGCAAATTATTCATATTTAAACTTCATTTGATTTAACTATTTCAAATAAATCATAATTGATTATTAATATTAAATGATGGTGCATGTGAATTACTTTTTTTTTTTTACAAGAGGAAATGATTAAATTAGTGTTAATATTTGTTCAGTAAACGGAGAGACTCGAACATGTGATCTCAACCTGCTCCTCATGAAAAAGCGCGACTTAACCAGTGGATTGCATGAAAGAATTCACAGTGCATGAGAGAATTCACAGTGCATGTGAATTATAAACAAAAATAAATATCAACTATATTAGATATCCACTTTCAATTATAAATTATTCAAAATAATTAAACAAAATAGAGTTCAAAAGTTTGTTTAGTTTACTTGATTCTATCATTATATAATTTTTTTAAAACAATTAATTAAGGTGTTTAAAAACTATTAAGTAATAGGTATCAATTTTTCATCAATTCTCAACTAACATTTACAACTATCAACTAAAAAGATTTTAAAATCCTGTGATAGATGTAAAGAGATTAAGAGAAAAAGAGTGCTACCCCTCATAATTCATAATAATATGATGTACTAACCAAAAAAAAAGAAAAAGAAATCAATTTAAAAGATTTATGAGTAACCTTTTTTTTTCTTTTTTCTTTTTTTTCTGAGTGATCGGCGGAAATGATAAAGCAGATCGAGAAAGGGGCCAGGGGGGAGATTAGAATATTCCATGGTGATGGATGGACCAGCATCATAAAAAATGAAAATGTAAGTGGGCTTCAAAAAAAATAAAGTCAGTATTCTTGTAGGGAAATGAGTGCCTTTCTAGAGCAACAACTCTTATCTGATATGTGTTCTGGACTGCTCCCTCTTCCCCCAGTCCCCAGCCATGATTCCTTGCAAGCCTCTTGGACTTTAGTGCTGAATTTTGGGAGAGAAGGTATAAGATTAATTAAAAAGTGATTGCTTTTTCTCCTTTTTCACTATGCTCTATGCAAATAACAAACAAAGATGGACCCGTGCATCCCAATTACAAAATAGCAAAAGACATATCCAATTTGTATTTTAAGAGTGTATTAACTGTATTTTTTTACGTCAATGATTTAAAAAGTTTAGTAATTAATTATTTTCTTCTGCATAGAGTATAGTGATAAGGGATGAAAGATAATTATCTTCAATTATGCAATCAATATAAAAAAATTATATTTTTTACTATTAACTTATATAAAAAATATAAAAACTAATTTTATTATAACACCATTGACATATGTGAATGATTTAAAATAAAAGATTGATAAAACTAAAGTTAATATTTTATTATTTTTATAGCATTTATTAAAAAAGTGTAATTAATACACTTTTAATTGTATTTTAAAGGTTAATGTTATTGTCACACCCTTTATTCAATCATTAATATTTCACTTTTTTTAAATTAATCATTATATTTTTTAATTTATTAAAAAATAAAAGATTGATAAAACTAAAGTTAATATT